AATTCGACAAACCACTTAACCAAAACACCCTTTTTCCACATTTTCACTTGGGGAAATCAAAAACTTAAAAATTTTATTGGGGCCCGTCCCCCCCCCCCCCCTTCCATGTAGTTACACCACTAGCACTATGAATGTACCAAACTGTCAGACCTTTCCATGAGGTCCGTATATTTTCGATATTCAAAGCCATATTCAAATATCGATTTTGAGAAAAGTGCATGAAGATATAGCCCTAAGTGTCCTCTTTCAAATGCACTTTTTATTCGCTATAAATCGTACTTTAGTTGTTTTTCACGAAGTTTTCTAAAAGCCCTAGAGAAAACAAATCAAATTTTAATACTTTGTTTTCTTTTAACTTCTTTAACTCATTTTCTTTTAACTTTTGAGGTAAAATCCTTCGGAAAATAAAATAAAGAAACATTCAAAATTATGACTCTTTTACGTCGTTACTCTAACTTAATTTAATATTATAAAACCAACCCAAGAACCTGACGGTTTTGAATATGAAAAATATGCGATCTTCGGGGCAAGATCTCACAACCTGATATATCTCTACCTATCACCATAACATTGGATTTAATAAATAGTTGAAAATTTATAGTTTTGTGTTATTTTTCAAACATATTTTTGCTACTTTGTCATACAAGTGGTTAAATCTCATCTTGCATATGATAATTTTAGTATTTTCTTGTAGCTTGTTAGCCATTTGGCTAATTCACATAATGCTGTTCAATTTGTTTCGCTGTTGTGTGCAATGATTCTAAAAAAGTAAGAATAGATAAGATAAATAAATATTGTCTACTAAATATTTCTTTATCAATGTTTAGTTTAGAAACTGATTTAAACAGTGCTCATACTCAAACAATGTTAATATTTTTAACACCTTCAATAACGGATATTCGTCAGCAACAAGAACATAAAATTGTAAAAACATGTAAAATTCAGTTATCATTAGAAGAAAATAGTAAAATTGAACGATTAAAACATCAATTAAAACAATTACCTATCTGTTGGCTAACCATTTTACATAAATTATTATTATCAGATAAAACGTTTCGTATTCGACTTGTTTTATTACAATTAAAACAATTTCTTCAGATAGAATATCAAACAGTAATGAATTTACTTCGATCTACAACTAATGAATTGCATATAGATCCGACTAGTGGTCATTCAAAACATCATCATCAATTTTGTGCACTCTCATTATTTGATATGACATCTTGGAAATTATTTCATTCAATTATGGAAATTAGTTTTGAACAAATTCTTGTATGTTACTAAATTTTGTTCTTTTAAATATATATACTTTGAATTAAATGTTCTTGTGTGTTTAGTCTGAACAAACGTCAACTGATGTACATAATTTATACGATAATTGTTTATCAGTTATTGAAAATTTATCAAATATACTCTGTTGTATACCAAATGATATTACATTACAATTATATGATATTAAACGTTTATTACATCGACCAGTAAGTAAAAGTGACTATAATTTAATACACTATCGTTTCTATTAAAAATTATATTATCTAAAATTTTCTAGAAAACTTCTTCACGAGAAAATATGATCAATTTATCAATAAATCATTTACAACGTTTAATAAGACCAAAAAATTCTGCATGGAAATCATCATCCTATAAACTTATTGATCATATTTTATTGTATGTATTCTATAATTGTGTAAAATAATTTGAATAATTTTATCAATAGTTAGTTTATTTTAGTAATCCAGCTGCTTCAATGCTAAATAAAAGCAATGTACTCAAGATATTATTTAGTAAATATCGTTGGTTTTATTTAACACCACAGGTAAAGAAGAAAAATAAATTAATTTACGATTCATGTGATCTTTTTATATTTAGTTTGATGAAATAATTTGGATCTTGTTTGAAACGGTTGAAAAATTGTTGTATGCTGATTGTAATAAGTTTATTGATATTCAATTTGAAGAATATGTAGAATTAAAATTGCAGACAATTCAATTATTATTTGATAATATTTTAAACAATAAAATAGTCGAAAGTAATATGACTGAAAAATGTTACAGTATAATCAATAGAGTAAGTAATAAATAAATCATATCACATTGCGTCAGTTTCCTGGTCTATTGAATTGAACTTTTGACTTTTTCAACGGTGTACATTCTTATATGAAACAACTATCTGAAAATATTATGGAAAAATGTTTATGATTCTGATTTTCTTATTTAGGTATTTTGTGATTCTTGTAATAATTTGATTAGTTTTAATAATAATAATTTAAAAATAGTTGAAAAGATAATCAATTTAATGTGTAAACAATTCAAAAAATATCTTGTTAATATACCGTTGTTACAAATTTGGTAAGTATACGTTTAATATCGATTTATTGAAGACATTCGAAATCGTGAACCGACATTTTGAGCGATGACAGTTGTGCAACCGATTTTTGATACTTTCCAATGTGATATTTCTTGAGATTAGCAAAATTGCGTAGATTCTCATTAGGGAGAAGGGGGAAGCGAGCATAATGAGGATGAGTGGAATAAGCTGAAACTCTATTAGTCAGATGCAAAAGTCAATTTCAAGATGCCGATTCTGTTTATATTGAGGATTGTAGACTAGGCAACTCGACATACTTCATTTAACTTTTGCTTTCAAATTTTGGCCAATAGAAAGTCAAACTTGATCGAAGCAAAAATGTTTCTAGTTCTCGTTTTCAATCAACTGTGCCTCTTCCTTTCTTTTGTTACATATGCATTGATTAATTCTTGAAATTTTTTGTCTCCAATTTTGTATTTATATCAACGTGTCATTTCAGTACATTACAATCCAAACATAGTCAAATAATCATGGAATTTTTAATGAATTATATGAAAGATCAATATAGTAATATCACTGTCAATCATTTACATTCGAAATTACGTTCGTATGTCTGGCAACATTTGTTAAATATTCGTCTTCGTTCGTCTGACAAGCATATTGGATATGCCGAACAAAACGAAAAGATTGTCTATAGTCCATATCTATATGTCTAGTAAGTGAAAATCGCGTTTGTTTATATCTTCATGCATACCATATTTCTCGTGTTATAGCAATGGTTCATTAACTGAAAATGTGAATCAACTCAACCTTGATGGATATTTAGAAAATATTCATATTTGGTTAAAAGAAGTATGTCGTACTGTTCGATAAGTCTTACTTTAATTTGTAAACGAACAACATTACTGTAGATTGTTTTAAGTGAATACTTTTCATAAATATTTTAGGAATCGAACGACGATGTACAACGAAAGATTTTGTCATCATTATGCGATCTGATTAAAGATCATGCACTTGTTCAATATAGTCGAATAAATATTGACCAATTAGTTGCTACATTAAACGATTTGGTAAGCTATCGTCATCGAATATACTGATCTCTGTTCAAAACGGAAGTATTGTAGTTCCATCAATAGATTTCACGGTGTGAACATGTCACTCTGTTACCATGATGATTTTAGTGAAAATATTTTGATATCTTTTTCTCACAATTTTTACATTAGAGGACGACTAGGCATACGCACCATCTAGAATTATACAGTAAAATTTTCTGAATCAAATGAAATGTCTTCAGCTCTTTTCGTTTAAAACATTAAAAAGAAATATTGGACACTATTTCTTAACTTTTAAAAAAGCACTAGAAATCTCTCATTAAAAGTTTACCCTATAACGTCCAAGATGGTGTGTATGCCTAGTCGTCCTCTAATGTAAAAATTGTGAGAAAAAGATATCAAAATATTTTCACTAAAATCAT